AAAACTCTTTGGTTGCAAGGAAGAGAAATCCAACTTAAGTGAGTTTAAGCCAAAAAAGAATTTTATTATAAGGCTACTTGGATTCAATGGAATCCAAAAGAGGAATATGGATAGGCCTTGCAAGCAGCTAGAACTGGAAGCTCAAATGCTGTCTGGATTTGCTCTCCTCTCCTTGCCTCTGATTCTCTTTCTGCTGATTGGCATTTTCTATTCCTCAGTCCACATGGTGGAACAGGGCTGCCAACTGCTTCTGCATTTACATGCCTTCATTTTCAGACACCCAGAGAGAGACTGACTTCTTTTGTCAGTTGCAGTTCCCAAATCCTGGGGGAGGGCTCTGATTGGCCCGTTTGGATCAGGTGCCCACCTCTTGACCAATGGTCAGTGCCAAGAGCGAGGCCCTTGTCGCAAAAGGCAGTCTCTCATGGTGCCATATTGAAGGCACCACATATGTACGGGGGCAAGAGAGCAGGGGAGACAGTTCACCGGAATTCGGCTGGTGCTGAGCTGATGAAACAATGGGGGCTCGCTACATTTCTCAACGCAAACTAAAGGGAAATGAGGAGAAAATATTATTTCTTTGGAAGTGAGAATAGTATATTCTCCCTTTTTGTGTTTTCAGAGTTCACTTCTAACCCATAGCCAAATGTTTAAGTGAAATTATGTCATTTTTAAGTACTGTAAAATATTAATTAATTTGCACTTAACTTGGCTTATCTAATGTTCCCCCCTTATGAGCTTGGTCTTAGAGCACGTTCACATATATTTTTCTGAAATCTGTACTTGGTCCATGCTGCAGAAGCCATGGGACTCAATTCTGAGCCGACCCCTCAGCTATTAAATATTGATCCAGGTGCCCTGTGGGTGGGACAGAGGGTGATCAGACAATGGCACCCAGGAACAAAGAGGACATTTCCCCTTTCTCCTTGTTCGGGACAGAGGAAGGAGACTCTGTTCACTGAAGAGCTCTGTATTCAGCAGGTGTGGAATGTGCGTTTTCCACCTAGCACCACCGGAATCTGGGAGGCAAGTGTGAAGGAGGTGAGAGCATCAGCGTTGGTAAATGGGAACCAGGCCCTCTGAGTCTGAGCGCCTGGTGGCATCAGCCAGGGTACTAGCTACCGACAGTCTCACTTCCCCTCTCCTAAGCTTCCAGTGCCACTGTCTGAAAATGAAGCTGTCCCTTAGAAGGTCCCTCCTTCCAGACCCTGAGAGACCTCGATTTCCTAAGCCAAGAGCAGAGAACCGCTGTTTCATTTTTATTTATTAAAACAATTTTTTTAAAAGAACTTGTTTTGTATTTCTAGACATGAACTCTTGCTCTGTCACCCAGGCTGGAATGCACTGGTGTGATCATAGCTCACTGTAACCTTGAACTCCTGGGCTCAAGTGACCCTCCTGCTTCAGCCTCCCTAGTAGATGGGATTACAAGTGCATGCCACCATGCAGGCCCCACATGGTTTGTTTTAAATGGCAGACACAGGCTAGGCTCTGTGGCCCATGCCTGTAATCCCAGCACTTTGGGAGGCTGAGGCGGGAGGATTGCTTGAGCCCAGGAGTTCAAGACCAACCTGGGTAACATAGTGAAACCTCATCTCTACAAAAAACAAAAATGAGCCCGGTGTGGTGGTGTACGCCTGTAGTCCCAGCTACTCAGCAGGCTGAGGTGGGAGGACCTTGAGCCTGGGATGTTGAAGCTGCCATGAGCTGAGGTGGAGCCACTGCACTCCAGCCTGGGCAACAGAGCAAGACCCCATCTCCAGAAAAATAAATACACAAATAAAATAAACGCCAAGCACAGGCTGCCGGTGGAGCCACTGCACTCCAGCCTGGGCAACAGAGCAAGACCCTGTCTCCAGAAAAATAAATACACAAATAAAATAAACGCCAAGCACAGGCTGCCGGTGGAGCCACTGCACTCCAGCCTGGGCAACAGAGCAAGACCCTGTCTCCAGAAAAATAAATACACAAATAAAATAAACGCCAAGCACAGGCTGCCGGTGGAGCCACTGCACTCCAGCCTGGGCAACAGAGCAAGACCCCGTCTCCAGAAAAATAAATACACAAATAAAATAAACGCCAAGCACAGGCTGCCGGGATGCGTGGCTCATCACTTGCTAGGTACTCACAGTCCCATCACTAAAGATGCAAAATAATCAGAATACAGACGTGTTAGATTGAAGGAAGCTCCTGATTAGAATTAGGTCCTCAAGGTCAGTGTGGAGAAACACTTATTCAGGGTGTCACAGACTTTGTAGGAAACTAAGTGGGGTGTTTTAGGCACCACGGGTTTCGTTGTTGCTGTTTGTGCTCCAATCCTTGTGATTGTATTTGGAGGGCTTTCGGGCCTGACACTGGGCTGCTGCGTCTCTTCAGGCCTTTGCTGATCTTCCTGCCTTCCTGTCTCGTGTGTAGGGCACAGATTCTGGCCAGCCCACTTCACGATGGCGAGAGCTTGGGCACATGACAAGGACCCTTGAGCCCCAGCTCCTCACTAACAGGGATTCAGCAGCTTTCTCTTAGAACGGCCATGGGGATGTGCGAGCTGGTACCTTTCAAGCAGCAGAAGCATCGTCTCTGCTGGGATCCTTTCAGTCACAGGTGTCTGAAAACAGACTCAGATTAGTGTGAAGAATGAAGAGATTTTATGGCCAGGCACGGTGGCTCATGCCTGTAATCCCAGCACTTTGGGATTACAAGGTAAGAAGATCATCTTGATCAGGAGTTCGAGAAGGTCAGAAGGTCAGGAGTTCGAGACCAGCCTGACCAACATGGTGAAATCCTGTCTCTACTAAAAATATAAAAATTAGCTGGGCGTGGTGGCATGTGCCTGTAGTCTCAGCTACACAAGAGGCTGAGGCAGGAGAATTGCTTGAAACCTGGAGGCGGAGGTTGTGGTGAGCCGAGATGGTACCATTGCACTCCAGCGAGACTCCATCTCAAAAAAACAAAGGAAAAAAGAAGAAGAAACTTTAACTCACAAGACCAGGAAACCCAGGAGTGGTCTGGCCTCTGGGATGACGAGCCACCGTGGCTAAAGATGACAGTAAGTCCTTTCATTCTCTGTTTGCATTCTGCACCCTGTTTGCATGGGTTCACTCCTGTGTTCTGGCTGGAATGGGCTTTCCTCACACAATGGGGGACGCTTGTTAGAGGTAGAAACAGAACTAAGGTAGAGGGAAAATATTAATACAGCAGTTCCTGCCCTCATAGAACTTACCAGCCAATGAAACAGTGAAACGAAAAATCATCATAAAGTATCACGAATGTTCTAAAAGTGAAGTGTACCACAAGTAGGACCATGCCCTAAGTGGACTCCAGCCTGGCTAAGGTGCCAGGGAAGACTCTTCAGAGGAAGTGGGGGTGGGGGGGATGAGGAGTTAGCCTATAAGTAAGGGAATGGAAAAGTGTTTTGGGCAGAGGGATCAGCATATGTGAAGGACCAGACGGAGAACCTCAGGGCAGATCTGGGGAACCTGTCAGCTCTTTCTCAGTGCAATGGGTCTGGCTAGAGCACTGTGAGAAGGGTGTGTCAGTTTCCCAGGCCTGCCAAACAGATCATCACCAACTGGGTGGCTTCAAACAATGGACATTTATTCTCTCATTGTTCTGGAAGCAAAAAGTCCAAAATTAAGGATTTAGCGGGGCCATGCGCCCTCCAGAGGTTCCATGCGAGAGTCCTCCCTTGTCCTTGAAGTTCCAGTGCCCAGAGGCCCCAGGCTGCATTACTCTGCTTCTACCTTCACGTGGTCTCCTACTCTCTATGTCTTCTCTTCTGCCTTTCTGACTCTTTTTTTTTTTTTTTTTGAGACAGAGTCTCACTCTATCACCCAGGCTGGAGTTCAGTGGTGTAATCTCGCCTCACTGCAGCCTCTGCCTCCCGGATTCAAGCAATTCTCCTGCCTCAGCCTCCCAAGTAACTGGGATTACAGGTGCACACCACTACATCCGGCTAATTTTTGTAGTTTTAGTAGAGACAGGGTTCACCATGTTGGCCAGGCTTGTCTTGAAGTCCTGACCTCAAGTGATCTGCTCAGCTCGGCCTCCCAAAGTGCTGAGATTACACTTGATAGCCACTGCACCTGGCCTCTCTTCTGCCCCTTAAAGGACACTTGTCCTTGGATTTAGGGCCCAGGTGGGTAATCCAGGACGATCTTCTCATTGCAAGATCTTTAACTTAATGGCATTTGCAGAGACCCTTTTTCCAAATAAGGTCACATTCAGAGGGTCCAGTTGTCAGGCGTGGACATACCTCTTGGAGGATCGACATCCAATTGAGGGAGACGCTGTTGGGCTGGTCAGCCAGGCCTCATCGCAGAGCAGGAGGACAGCATTTCAGTCTGCACTCCAGAAAGAACACTATGGCTGTGGCAGTGCAATGTGAGATGCAAGCAGGGTGGCTGGTCCTTCAGGAGAGGGCCGCCATGGTCCAGCCGACAGGTGACGGAGGAAGGAATGAGGCATCAGCCGAGCCAGGGATGGGTCCCAGGCAAACTTAGAAAAACAAGTCAGCAGGACTTGGGGACTGTTGGGGCTGGGGTGGCTGCAGCAGGGGAGAGGCAGTGGGATCACTGGATGATGTGTATTGCTGTGATACGTAACCCTCACGTTCATTTTCCCTAGGAGAGAGTGCTGGCCAATGGAAAGAAATTGGCTTTGAAATTGTCAAAACCTGGGTTGAATTCCCAACACTCACTTTCCAGCTTCCTCACCTTGGTTGTGTTTCTTATTTTTTTTCTGAGCCTCAATTTTCTCCTCCATAAAATGGAGATAATAATACGGACTTCACAGGGCTCTTGAAAGAATTAAATGACAGCCTAGGTGGCGTAGTGGGCTCAGGGTGGCCGCGTGGGCGGTGAGATGCGCTGGTTCCTCCTCCTTCCTCCTGCCTGACCAACGTCGGTTCCTGCAGTGCTGCCCCGGCGCTCAGTGGCACCCGCTTCCGGCACAGCTGGCTCTACCCCACCTGCAGCCTTTTTTCTCCTGGGACCTGCCCACAAATGGCCCTCTTCACTGTCCTGGAACCTTCAACAAATATTTTCTCACCTGTTACCCCTAAGTAGCCCAGGCTGTGAAAGCCACAAGCTGCAAAACGGGTATAGTCTCAGAGCCTTGAAAGGGACCTGAAGTGCTTGCTTAGATGGCTGCCGGCTGCAGTGTGTTTGTTCACTGGTTTATTCCTGCATCTAGGCATCCACTCCCTCAACAAACACTTGAGTGGGCGAGGCATTGTCTCGCACTGGGAACACAGAGCTGAACGGAAATGTGGTTCTCACCTCATGAAGTTTACTGATTCTACCAGGCAACCAGCCCTCTCTGAGCTCATGAATCTTCTGGATGCACTGATTTCATGGCTTCACTCTCCGGCTTTTACATCCCCTCAGGTAAAGGGAGGCAGAGCCGGGAGGAGCGTGAATTCGATTCTCCAGTCTCACCCAGGATAGGTGGGCATAAGGAAACACAGGCAGGTTCTCAGGAGGTGGGACAGAAGCTGGAGCATCCCTGAGAAAGCAGATACCCCTGTCCTACCTTTCAGACACATTTCTGTCTTCATTTGTGACATTTTTCTCCACCCAGTTTCTTGCCACTTCCCAGTCATAATCATTGCTCTTGGTCTGGTAAGCTGAGAAGGAAGGATACAAATCTGATTTACTTGCAACAATGTTTTAGGAGCGTGAGCATAAAAACATGTGGTTTCCTGCGACTATCCGTCCCAGGAAGTTGGCTGGGACTTTAAGGAGTTGACTGGCACAAAGTGTAAAGTGCCTACCACTTCCTGCCCTCCCGGGGAGGCTTGCCTTGCTCTTCTGAGCACTTTTTAAATTTTGAAATGGAGTTTCCCTCTTGTTGCCCAGGCTAGAGTGCAATGGCGTGACCGTGGCTCACCGCAACCTCAGCCCTCTCGGGTTCAAGCGATTCTCCTGCCTCAGCCTCCCGAGTTAGCTGGGATTACAGGCGTGCACCACCACGCCTGGCTAATTTTGTATTTTTAATAGAGATGAGGGTTCTCCATGTTGGTCAGGTTGGTCTTGAACTCCTGACCTCAGGTTATCCACCTGCCTCAGCCTCCCGCAGTGCTGGGATTACAGGTGTGAGCCTGGCCTCTTCTGAGCACTCTCTACCTTCAGGTTGTCTGGAGCCTCAAGGTTCTCAGTAGAGGTACTTATGCAAATGCGTGTGTTCTGACACAAGATGCAAATGTCAGGAATCCTCTTCCCAAAGGGCCAGTCTCTAAGACTTGCAGAAAAGGCAGAGTCTGATTTAAACCTGCCACCTGGAGGAGATGCTGGCGTGAGGAAAACAGAAACAATGAAATGCGAGTTGGCGTGAACTCTGGAAGGCAGAACCTGAGTGAAAAAAAGGAAGAGTCATTTTGTTCATCGGTGAATTCATTTATTCTACTAATTATTGTGCCAAGTACTATAGGGGTTACTAAGTATACAAATTGTCCCTATCCTGGAGGACCTAAAAGAGCCCAGAGAGAAAAAGGCAAGTACACATGAATGTGTGTTTTGCTTTGAGAATTATGCCAAAAAAGCTGACAGGAGACAGACACCTCACGTTTAGTGTACTCCACTTCATTCGACCTCAGTTCCTGCCAGCTTCCCTAACGAAGTTTCACTTTACAGACGAGGAAACTCAAGTTCAGAGAGTAATTTTTCCAGGAACTGGGGTTCCAACCCAGATCTCTGACTCCAAAGCCTAATAAAGCCACCTGTAAAGAATCAAGTTAAAAAAACAGTTGAAAGGGGCCAGGTGCAGCACTTCGGGAGGCTGTGGCGGGCGGATCACCTGAGGTCAGGAGTTCAAGACCAGCCTAGCTAACGGGGTGAAACCCCGTCTCTATTAAAAATATAAAATTAGCTGGGCATGGTGGCGCGCACCTGTAATCCCAGCTACCCGGAGGCCGAGGCAGGAGAATAGCTGGAACCCGGGAGACAGAGGTTGCAGTTAAGCTGAGATCGAGCCACTGCACTCCAGTCTGAACGACAGAGGGAGACTCCATCTCAACGACAACCAGGTGAAAGGAAACGGGGGGCATTACAAAATATTTGTCCTTTTTCAAAAGAATTCAGTTCTTGACTCATCGGTTTTGAGTGATTCTGACCTTTTATGATACAGTTTTCAAGCAGCTGATTTACCGCCGTGATCTGAGGAACACCCCAGTGTGTTGTGCACAAGGCTTTGCTTGCTGGGGCGGGTGTGGTTCCATCTAGACCAGCATGCAGCCAGGGCTTTTCTGGCCTCCGTTGCTGATTCCAAAAGTTCATGTGAGGAGGGAAGAGGGATTTTAGAGCCAGAAGGGAATTGAGTTTCTGTCAGCCAACTCTCTCCTTATAAAAGCGTGGACATTGGCTGGGCACGGTGGCTCAGCTGATGTAGCCCGGTGTGTTCCTGACATCATGGAGGTAAACAGCTGAGCACTTTGGGAGGCCGATGCAGGTGGATTACGAGGTTGAGAGATCAAGATCATCCTGGCCAACATGGTGAAACCCCATCTCTACTAAAAATACAGAAATTAGCCGGGCACAGTGGTGCATGCCTGTAGTCCCAGCTACTCGGGAGGTTGAGGCAGGAGAATTGCTAGAACATGGGAGGCGGAGGTTGCAGTGAGCTGAGACTGTGCCACTGCGCTTCAGCCTGGCGACAGAGTGAGACTCCTTCTTAAAAAGATAAATAAATGAAAGCATGGAAACTGAGACCCAGAGAGGTTAAGTTCCTGGCCTAAGGTCACACAGCTAGTGGTGGGGAGATGAGAGTTGGTTTTGCCCAGCTCTCCTGCCATCTGTCGTTACTCAGCACAGTAAAGGAGCAAGTCATCTGCGACTCACAGAAGTGCTAGGACCAATCCTACTCACTTCTTTGATGGAACCTACCGTAGTCCCGTTATTCCCAATCATTTGTATGTTCTGAGGCACCTGCAGCCAATCTCTACGTGCCCTTTGGCAGGAGTCAGACTTCCCTGGTGCCATGTGGACTCAACGCAGCAAGCAGCCTCGGCCCTGTTTTGGCCCTTCTGTGCATTAAGGGATCCGTTTACATTTAATTGAAGCTTGGCATACTCTGAGCTGAGGCGGCCTTGCTTTGGCCTTCTGAAAAAAGCATGCAGCTTTGGCCTATGAGCTTGAGTTTCATAGAGTAGCTTCCAATACCGGAGGGAAGCTGGCCTATTACTCTCTGGAGTCTTTCTGAATTGAACAAAAACTCTGTGTATGCCTTCTTTGTTGTTCCTTTCCGAGAAGCGTGAAGTCCCCCAGATTCCAAGGCGGCGTGGCTGGGAGAGCCCAGGGCCAGTAGGAGCCAGGCGTGCCTTCACGCCAGCACGTGAGCAGCCCCTGTGCCGTCTCCCGGCCTCACGGTCGGGCTATTATAGCAGAAGCTCCCTCGGCCCCCCTCCCCACACCCTTGGAGTTGAGGAGGAAGTGAGAAAGGGCTTGGCTTGGTGCCTGGCACACAGCAACCCTCCAGAAAAATGCCAGCTATTACTATTGCTATTGTTGCTATTACCCTCACGACTTCTCCATCTTCTGCACCACCCACAGGCTGCTTTGCTGTGAACACCGGGACGTGGAGAAGAGTGAATGAGATAGTGGGATGGGAGCGACCGAGTGTGAAGGTTAGGGAGGGAAATGAAACAGCCCACAGCCCTGCTGCACTCAGCGCCTTCTCCCTGCCTGCAGAGTCCTTCCTGGCATCTCGGGAAATCCTGACTGCCCCACAAGGCGCCCACCTTCTCCCTCGCTTCTGCACAGACACTTGGGAGGAGTACTTGCCACCTGAATGGCTCTTCCCATGTGCTGCCTTCTCCAGGACCCACTCAAGCCTGTGGCTGTGGAGTCCCTATGTGTCATGCATTTGCCATTGAGCATCTTATTAATTCATTTATTTCTTTATGGCAGGGTCTCACTTTGTCTCCCAGGCTGGAGGACAGAGGCATGAACACAACTCACTGTGGCCTTGACCACCTGGCCTCAAGCAATCCTCCCTCCTCAGCCTCCCAACTAATTGGGACTACAGGTGTGCACCACCATGGTTGGCTGATTAAAAATCTTTTTTTTTTTTTTTTTTTTGTAGAGATGGGAGTCTTGGTATGTTGCCCAGGCTGGCCTCAAACTCCTGGGCTCAAGCGATTCTCCTGCCTCCGCCTCCCAAAGTGCTGGGACTAATCTCTTAAATTCTCACATCCACCTTAGGAAGGAGGTGTTTCCCATTCACTGTGACAGATAAAGAAACAGGGCTCAGGGCAGTTAAGTGACTTATCCAAGGCCACCATGGAGTGACAGGGCAGAGGGGCAGGCTTGGGTCTGCCCAGCTCCAAAGCCTGAGCTCCGTCCACGCATCTCAACACTTGCTGCTGCCGCAGCTGCAGCTGGCTAGCCCTAGGGTGAGCCATGGTCCCAGACCTTCAACCTACAATACAGTAGCGGGATGTGAGCCATTTTCTTTTCTTTTTCTTTCTTTCTTTTTTTTTAAACAGAGTCTCACTCTGTCACCTAGACTGGAGTGTGGTGGCATGATCTCAGCTAGCTGCAACCTCCACCTCCCGGGTTCAAGTGATTCTCCTGCCCCAGCTTCCTCCAGTAGCTGGGATTACAGGTGGGTGCTACCCCGTCTGGCTAAGTTTTGTATTTTGTAGAGACAGGGTTTCATCATGTTGGCCAGGCTAGTCTTAGACTCCCGGCCCCAACCCATCCACCCACCTCAGCCTCTCGAAGTGCTGGGATTACAGGTGTAAGCCACCGCGCCCAGCCTCGATTTTCTTATGTATGCATTTCTGTGTTTACCGTATCTTTTTCAATGAGCTTGCATTCCTTTTGTGGTATAATTGAAAATAATACTAATAATCACTGACAGCACTCTGGACAAGTGTCAGCTCATTTATTCCTCACACAACCCAAGGGTGAGGATCTTGTGATTATCATCCTTGTTTTCTAGAGGAGAAAGGCTAGTTGCAGAAATGTGAGATGATTCACCTGCTGTCTTCCAGTCGGTAGTGGCAGAGCTGGGGCTTAGACCCTGGCGGGCCTGACTCCCGACGTCTACCCTTGACTGCGGAGCGGGCCTGACTCCCGACGTCTACTGTTGACTGCGGAGCTTACTACTTCCACGTGGCAGAGAAAATGATTTGTCTTAAGAATACAGGAAGCATTTCATTTATATGAAATATCCATAATGGGCAAATCCACAGATACAGAAAGCGGATTTGCAGTTGCCAGGGTATGGGGTGGACGATGGAAGACGCAGAGTGAATGCAAATGGGTACAGCGTTTCCTTTCAAGGTAGATAGAACGTTCTGGAAATGGATAGCGGTGATGATTGCACAACACCACGAATGTATTAAATGTTACTACTAATAAGTTTTATATTATTTGTATCTTACCAC